CTAAGCAGACACCTGACCCTAAGCAGAGGCAGAGTGGTTATTTCCTTCGACATTGAGAGGGGAAGAGAAAAAAGATGGATGCCACGCGGAAGCAGCTATGACGACGTAAGGGAGCTGAATCGGAAGTACTACGACCGCGATGTCTGCCTCCTCTACTTGTCTGGCCTTTGCCCTCACGAGCTCTTCCAAATAACGGTATTCTCCTCATTGATTCGATAATCCGTTTCTCTATTCTTTATGCTTTGATAATTAATTGTTAATGGTTGATATCCACTTTCTTTCCCTTTGAACCCTACTTTTATGTTTTCGAAGTGATTGTCTGTGTTTGGTTTCTGAGAAAATCTGGGGTTTTAGAAGCAATAGAAGTTTTTGGGGATGGATGGGGGCAAGGTAGAAGCCTAGAAGGGAAAGTGACAGATATACACCATCTGGTTTTTAGAATGGAGCCAGAGTTAAGTTGTTGTAACTCCTAATTTTGGAAACAAAGTGGCTAGGTTTATTTTATATTTATTTTCTTTTTAAATCTTTACTTCTGTTATATAAACCAATAAATAACTGATGGATGCAAATGAGGTCATTTGTTTTTATTTGTTAAAATGTGAATCTTTGAGGGAGAGTCGGATGTGGCAAGGAATCAGAGTTAAGGGTGAATTACATGTATTTAGTAAGACTAACACTACAAGCATTTTGAAAGTGGTTTATAATAATGAAATATAAAGAAGAAACATGAGAAAAGAAGGGTGTATATATGGAAAATTCTGCCAATTAGGGAGGAGTTTAGAAAGTGTACATGGAATTAAATTAGGGATAGCATGCAGAGTTGCTGACTTCATTGATTGGTTTGGTGGATGGGAGGTTGTAGTCTGTCTGAACCAATGGAGGGTGTAGACTTGAGTATTTGAGGTTGTAATTGTTTTGTACATAGTTGGAGACAACAAAGGAAAGGAGAATGCATGCATGGAAGTGATAAGTATGTTTTTAACTTGTTGTTGGCAATTTTTGGCTAGTTTGGTAGCCTAGGAGGTGTAAGGATTGGAATAGGGGTTACAGACTGGGGGGCGGAGCTCCTGTGGATTCTTCGTGTCTCCTCAAGAAGATTATTGGGGGAATTTCAGCACCCTGTGGAGATCAGAGAGGGCAGTTTAACAGCTTCCTTTGGTCAAAGTTTTCTATATATCATTGGTTGTTAACTTGGATAAGAACTAAATTCAAATGGTAGGTATGCTGTTGCTGATAATTTTCATTTGATTATTTTGGTTACCTGTGAGGTGTTGGAAAGAAAAAGGTGTGACAGATTTAAATTTTCTATTTATCATGGGTATGTGAGATGGAGGACAAATAAACTAGGTCTTGTTGGTTGCACTACTAGTTTCTTTATAATTTTAATTAATTACTATTTTCCAATTCTATTTTATTGTCAAGTGCTATGATAACATGTATTGTTTTACGAGTTGACGAAAGTATTTTAGTGAGTCCGCAATTGTTAGGTAGATACTGTATGCTCATGTAATACTTATAGGTAGAGTTGTTTTATGTGGTGATCTTGTATATGTTCTTTCAACTTCATTTTTGTAATTCTATATGTGTTTGTTTACATGTCAAATTGATGCATGTTTGGATTATATGTATGTTTCTTACCATATTCTTCACTTAACTACCTGTAAGTAATTTCATTATTTTCAAAAGGATCTAACTACCTTAGGTAAGTTTTATCAAACTGGAAATGTGGAATAGAGGGTATAGGTTAGAAAAGTTTTGAATTGCTTGGTGGAATGATTTTCAAACAGGATTTTGTTAAAGGTAGGGCTGTAAGAAGCCATGCCTCTCTCAACAAGTTGAACTCAAAATAATGGTAACCCCAGTTTGTATTTGGTTTCTTTTAGTTAAGTGAGTTGACTTAAACATTTTAGTGCTTGGGCTGAGAATTGTTTCTACACTTAAAAAAGAGCCAAGACTAGTTCATTTTGAGGTCTTATGATTCTCTCAAACCAACTTTGAGAGAAGAAATGAGCTTGAGTTGGAGATTGAGCTCAAGATTTTATGTTTGTCAAGCTTGAGCATAGTATCAGGTGAGTATAGGATTGATTCACTCTAGATAAAACTTAAAAAGTTAAAAACGTTCCCTTGGATAATTCTTGAATGGGTGACGAAAAAAGGACCTTAACCAATTGTATTGGTGTAGATACACATGGGGATAAGAGTTCTATTAAAACAATATTAAATGCCATGATTGGTTTCTAGTATTGTTTCATTAGTTGTGGAATATAGAAATATAGAAATGGCTATAAATCCTGCATGGACACATAACGATTCAAGGCTTGCGGTTTGGCAAACACCAGTAGATTTGAATGCTGCTTTTGTTTTCACATTAAAAAATTCCAGTAAATCCTTTAATTTTATCATGAGTAACTTTAGTTTCGTTTGAGTATGATGATCTGACAAAGGGATGCCATTCCTCAAGTCACTAATATTTTGTTTTATGATGCAACTCTCCTCATGTGTGTCTCTCAGCAAAAGATTTTAGTGCTTTATTTCTGGGATTTGAATGCTAACATTCCTTCAGTAACCAATATTTTGTTAGGCTATTTTCTTATTTTTCTTATTTTTCTTGCTTGAATTTATTAAAATTTTCTATGCTAATATTGATTGTTCTTCAACTTTACTCTTGTTTTTAATCAGGAGTGATTGGTACTAGATGATTGTTGCCAGGAAGCAAATGAATATGAAACTGTTCTTGCTCAGGTAAGTAAACACATATGGTAGTATAACTTATGTTTGCCCAAATTAATGTTTTTCTTAGTAAGCTTTGACAGTTCCTCCTGTGGACGTATCAACATGTTTAATTAAGAGGGTATTTATTACTTGTGGCTTGGCTTTGAAAGTATTAGCATTGTTTTAAAAACTGGTCTGGACTGGCCAGTTGGACCGATAACATAAATAGGTCAGGTGGATACCTAAAACCGGTATGGAGGTTGAACCATTCAAACCAGCAGAACCATTCAAACCGGTGCAAACTATCGAACTGTTCAACTGGATGGTTCAATGTTTTTGAGAAAATTTTCTTAGATTTGCCACCTCCAGGGTTCGAACACATGATTTCAAGTAGATTCTCAATAACTTTTGCTACTGGAGCATGACCTTTGAAATGGGTATTGTCTGTTTAAAATTTTATTTCTTTTATTTTTAAGAAGAAGGGAATTGAAAGTAAGGGAATCAAACTTTCTTCAACTTTATCAAGTTCCTCCACCTTATGTGGAGAGAAATATTGTTGATTTTTATATTGAAATTAATATAAAATTTGTTTAATTTATATTTTAAAGGCACAAATTAAAGTGTAATAAATGCAATTTTTTATAATTAATTTATATAAAAAAATTATAAAAATTAA